GCAGCTTGTTTATTTTAATTAACATAGGGATCCTCTGCTAGGAACAAGGAACAACCTCCATCTACTGGCTAGATCATTGCGTCTCTTCTCCATCCAAACCCCATCCTTCATCACTCATTAAGGAGGGTACAATTTTGGAAGAAGCTTCTGAGGTCTCAAGGTAAGCTCCTACACGAGTCTTTGCTAGCAATGCAGCTATTTAGACCTCACGGATGGCATTTGCGGGGTGTTTCTCTGCTAGGAACAAGGAACAACCTCCATCTACTGGCTAGATCATTGCGTCTCTTCTCCATCCAAACCCCATCCTTCATCACTCATTAAGGAGGGTACAATTTTGGAAGAAGCTTCTGAGGTCTCAAGGTAAGCTCCTACACGAGTCTTTGCTAGCAATGCAGCTATTTAGACCTCACGGATGGCATTTGCGGGGTGTTTCTTCGGTGCGGTCGGTTGTTTGGGTTTTTTTAAACAACACAGAATGGTCGTTTCCCCAGGTGTATTCGCAGACAACATTTGGTACGTCTGTGTTTTAATCTAGAAAAATAGCAGACTGGGAAGACTGAGCCACTCCGCTCAATAAAAAAAAAAAAAAAAAAAGCCTGTGTTTTTTTTCTTTCTTTCTTTCTATTTTTTATTAGTATTCTCTCTCTCTCTCTCTTTTTTTAATGGAATGGTTCCTTTCACCTGTCTGTGAATCTAGCCTGTAAAGGAGTCCTTTCCAAAAGCAGCAAAATACGATAATTTCCCATGGCTTAATTACAACCGGAGTGCAAATGCGATTACGGTTAATATCAGACAACTAAGAAGCTGACAAAGCTGAGGTCCTTGGCGGCGAACAGTTCCGTGCTAGACAATAATCTGCCTCTCCTGCTTTCTTCTGGCTGTGTGATCACTTGTTTGTGGTCAGTCACGGCTCTCGGCTGGGGAGATGCGCGCCTGGGATTACGATGCAAGCACCTAATTGTTTATTATTTAAATACCACCTCCTTAAGCAAATGAATACGTGGCTTAGTTTACATATTTTCAGATTACCAGGAGGAACAAGGACGTTGGAGGGCTGGTTTTTTGGGGGGTTGGGGTTGGTTTTTTTCTTTTTAATTCGATAATGTTTACAGTTAAAGCCGCCCTGCGCTTGCGTTCCTCGCACCGCCAGCCTCCGCGCAGCCTCCGCGCCCGGGGGCGACCCCACCGCCTCGCTCCGCGGCTGTAAGGCAATGACCGCAAAGTTGGGCTGGGGTACACCCGAGGGGACTCGGGGCAGCAGGACAAAGGTGGGGGTGGTAAAGTACGTTTCTGACACTGAAGTGGAATTTTAAACAATGTCGGACCAAAAAAAAAAATAAAAAAGCAAAAAGCAACCCGTTGAAATGCTGCAAACGACATTAGC